ATGGGGTAAAAATGTTCGCATTTTTGACCCAAAAAACATAAAATTTAGCAATTTATTTCCAAACCATTTTGTAGAGCTTAAAAAATCAAATAATTTAGTATATTGAAGCATTTTTATGCGCCTAATGGTTACGGAGAAAATTCCAAAAAATTGTAAATTTAAAATTCCCATGTTATTCTTATGGAGAATAAGTAAACTGTTGTAGTTTGCTTGTTTATGAACATATTTTGATCAAATTTGGAAAATGTTTTTATTTCTTACTAACTATTAACATTTTACAAAAAAAAATAGTTTTACCCTCCCTGATGCAGCAAACCTAAGTAGGTACTCGTTAAACTAATTCTATTTAAATCGGGAATAAATGCTATATTTTTAAGTAAATCCAATAAGTCAAATGGAAATTCACTTAGTCTGCAGGTTTGCTGCGGCGGGGGTATTTTATATTTTCCTTTTATCCTTTTAGTGAATTTCCCATATAGGGAAATAAGCTATTACCGTAGTATTTATGGTAAGACCTCGACGCGGGACCGATTTACTTTTTCGTTTTGAGGTACCTAGAGGCCAAAAACACAATCCGTTCAAATTCATATACATATATACATATTTATATATATATATTTATATAATATATATATTTATATGTGTCCGTTAGCGCGATAACTCAAGCAAAAATCATCCGATTTTGATGAAATTTGGTACAAACGTGTAAACCTACAACCTACGTTTATTCGAGAGTTCGTGAACCAGTTTGTTACAAACATTTACTGACTTGGTTGAAATGAAATATTTAGGCTACTATTTGGGTTGGTGTAAATATTACAATAGAAAAAAGCTAGAGAGCCTGAATAAATTGGTATAATCTCTTATTTACATCTTTAGTATTTCCATAACCTTTGAGTCGAATACTTTAAAGTCATCAGAAACGTTTTAAAATAACACCTGTAATACTTAGCAGTTGCTCGAATTCGAGCAACAGGGACACTAGTATGGTTTTATTTAATATTATTAAATTGACAAGAGTTATCCTGTAAAGCAGTATGTACTGAGGAAGGCTTGCTAAATAAAGGCATTTTATTATTTACTATTTACTAGCTGTACCCGCGGGCTTTGCCCCGTTTAACTTTATAAGTGAGCTCGTTCGCTGCGCTCACTTGCCTTCAGGTTAGCTCATTCGCTACGCTAACTCGCCTCCAGGTTGAAGTTCGTTCGCTACGCTCACTCACCTTTTGGTTGCAAATTAGCTGTTGTCATAAATGTAAAAGAAATAATAGTGCTGCACCCTCCTGTTGGTAATCCTTGTAACTTTAATGCTATTGAACATCATAAAACAGAACCAACTTGTTTAATTGAAACAGCTTTTAAGATTCATTAATTCCATTTAAATATGAGTACTCATAAGGTTAACATGGGAAACTCCAGAGCCACTGGGGCGGAGCCCGAGAGTCCGATCAGAATAAAATGGGAAGTAAGAGAATTAGTGATGAGTGAGTGAGTGAGTCAGTCAGTCAGTGAGTCAGTGAGGGCTTTGCCTTATATATATATAGATTATTTGATCGATCGATACATGGTTTTCGATAAATACAATTGAGTGAAAATTTAAAAACGTACGTTTTCAGGAAAAGCACTTTGGAAATTTTTTCCCCCTTTTTTCAAAATTTTTATTATTATTTTTATTTCATTAACATTTTAAGTTTCATAAAATGTCCATGGTAACGCAATATCTTTGGAATTTTTTTTTTTTAAAAGAGCATCTTTAGTGGAAAAACACAAAATCCTGTCACGACCATAACAGATGTTTAAATGAATATTAAAAATACCCCCGCCGCAGCAAACCTGCCGTCTAAGCGAATTTCCATTTGGCTGAATTGAACTTAAATCGATCTATTTAAATAACATTAGGTTTAACGAGTACCTAGGTTTGCTGCTACAAGGGAACTAATAAAGTGTGTGTTTTAAGTAAAATAATTATTGCTTAGTATAAAATGAATATATTTGCCAAGTTTGATCAAAAGATATCCATAAACAAGCAAACTACAAAATTTTACAATATTCTCCATAAGAATAACATGGGAATTTTAAATTTACAATTTTTTTAGTTTTCTCCGTAACCAATAACCGTACAAAAACACTTTGATATACTGAATTGTTTGTTTTTTTAAGCTCTTTAAGAAGGTTTAGAGAAAAATTGGGAAATTTTGTGTTTTGAGGGTCAAAAGTGAGAAAAACCAATTTTTACCCCATAAAACCCCCCATAAAACCCTGTTCCCATGGTCCGATCATGCTGGATCGCGAACTCATTCAAGTTTATCCTGCCTTACACCTTCAAACCAAATTTTATCAAAATCGGATAAAAATTACTCAAGTTATCGTGTTCACGGACACATATATATATATATATATATACATATATAAAAATTTGAACGAATGGTGTTTTTGGCCTCTAGGGACATCAAAATGAAAAAGTAAATCGGTCCCGGGCCTAAGTCTTACCATGAGACCTACGGTAAAAGCTACTTCCCTATAGGGAAATTCGCTAATAGTTAATATTATTTTTTGCTATAAACTAATTTACTTTTATGACCATTATACAATAAAAAGGTCACTGAGCTTTTGGTATATTTGGTCTTTCTAGAATAAAATAAAAAAACTCAAAAAATTGAAAAAAGCCAATAAAATCTTTTTAAGTTTGTATAACTCCGAAAAAACTTACCTGAGACCCGAAAAATCATTATGTTTGTATAGAGGTGTGCTTCTTTTGTGTATAAAACATTGAAATATGACGATATTTTAATTTTTGAAATTTTTATGATAGAAATCATAAACGTGATGGTCAGGGACAAGTGGTACGGTCGTGAGTTTTCTGAAATAATCTAAATCTTTCTAAACAATCCTTCAATTATACTGTTAGTTATAATAAAAATATGTGTTTCAATTGAACTAAACTGTTCAATTTACAATCATATTAAAGTTATTGTCACGACCAAACACACTATAATCCATAAGGCTGGATTGGTCGTGAAAAAACCTGCGATGGTCGTGAAACTTTGGTCGTGAAATTACGTGTTATTTGGCTATGTTCTGGCGGTAGCCCTGCACCTCATGTTCGAGGATACAAAGTGGACTTCTAGATTAATCTAGCAATTGAAATATCTTATAAACAAAAATTAACACCATGTCTACTTCATCGAATGACTACATACGGTCATGGACACACCAAAATTACAAAAAACACAATCTTTCCTTTATTAATCTTGTAATTCCTCCTTTCAACTCGAAACGACCGGCACTACAATCCTGACGTACACCCCGAACTAGTCTCTCAAACCAACTGACTCCATCGACGCCAGGCTTGCCACTGTCGTGCTCCAAAGTTGAAATTTTTTCCCAAATGGTCGTGACGCCAAATCGAGGGACAGACTTATTTTGTCATGGTAGTCAGTTTGCAATGACAATAAAATTATAATATGCTCCTTTTTTGTAAGTTTAATAACCATTGATGACATAAAAATACGGCTTTATATATTTCGGCATGAATAATTAGTCTAAAAACAGCGTGAAAGTTGGAAAATGTACCCTAGGGACACGTCATGGTCGTGAATTTTGAGACTTTAAAAATACGAAAAAAATACCTAGAACCTATTTAAAACCAAATAAATGTGTGTAACATGTTGCCCCCGTCCCAAAAAATATTAAAACACATAATAATAAACTACAAATCCAGTATCTACGAAGTAAAAGGCCAGGGACATGAAAACGTACGTTTTTAAATTTTCACTCAATTGCTTACATTGAAGTTTACAGCTGATTTTATCTCCCAGGGACTAAAAAGGCTTTTTACTCCCTGAGGAGTAGAAGATATGAGTTACTTTTAGAACCCCGCAACGAGTGTATTAAAAATAACTGTTATATGTTTTGTATTATGTTATGACCAAAAATACTTTTGAAGTGCGTTAAGTTTTGGTACTTGCAGTAGCCTATACTCCAACAGTTGAGAGTAAACACTAAATCTATCCATTTGTTTCAGAAGAGCTTCTGGACCTCTCTAAAGCTTTCCCATGTACCTCTAAAAACTGAATTTTAGAGAACATGAAGGGTAGACTGTTAAGTATTTAGTTAGCAATCTTAAAAATATGCCCCCTTGCACTGAAAAAACTTAACAAATGACTTGCAGAAAGAGAACTTCTATTCTCATGATGTACTCAAACCAAAGCAGGAAAAGAAATGGAATAAAATCAAAACAAAGGTATTTCAAGCTGTGTAGCTTTAGTGATCATATACAATTGCATGTTCCTATAGCAGGTCATTTTCCCTCTACAACATTGCTATTCGAGTCTAAAGGCCTATGGTACATTGTTCGTGGAAATTTAAATGTCATACTTCAATATAGTTGTCAGAAATACAATAATTTTCAGAAATATTAGTCCTGTTTTTTTTTATCTAACCAAATTTAGCTTTCTGTTTGCTGACACAGAGCAAGGGAAAAGTATTAAATTAATTAATTTGCTGGTACATAAACTAGATAGAGTGATACAAGAAAAAGATGTGATTAAAATTAGGAGAGTAGAAGGTTTACAACTTATGGTGATAGATCTGATTATCTGAAAAATACCTTGTATCGTATTATGATATAGTGTTTGATTATTTATATAGAGAATTGAGTAAAAACAGGATATTGGTTTAGAGATTAAAATAATTATCTCAAATATTTTACGCCAATAAAGTTAAGTTAATGAAAAAATCTCTTTAACAGATTAATTCAAGCATATACAAGTTTAAACTGTTCTTAAAGTCTCCCTTGTAAAATTATACAAGTCAACATGTTTCTCTCATTTAATTTTCATTAATTTAATGGTGTCATAAAAATCACTTATTCCATTTTCTACATACCACTCATATTAAAGCACTAATCACGTTACATTAAAATTTCAGCATTGACGTAATACTTAGACATCTGTACAATTAATTATCCGAACCACTCATGAAGTTAGAGCATACGTGTCTTCAAACAATCATTTTGTGTTGTATCGTTGTAACCAAAGGGCGCTTTTAAAAGGTTTTGTAATTATTTGAAGTTTGTTTGATGTTATTGATTTTTTCGCATAAGTTATTGGTAATAAAATCAACTTGATGGCATCAGTATGTATTGGTATGTAATTTAATATCTGTTCAACAACTGTGTATTCCTAAATTGGTTATTGCTGCCAATTGAATGTACCTCAGTAGTACAGTGCAATTAGCTTAAAAAAAGAGCAAACCGGGACATCCAAAAAAAAAGTTTCAAACCAGTGCCAAATTGTTGAATACACTTCCCTCAATATGTAAAAAAAAGTTACACTGATTTGAGTGTCGGGTTTGGGGGGGAGGGGGTGAAAATGGGGTAAAAATAGGACTTTTTTTACTTTTTCGCAAATACCTCAAAAACGGTGCGTTTTTCTTAGAATATAATGAATTACAAAAATAATCTACATTAAATTTCGAACAAAATGATACCATACAATACCTATCTACTATGAACGGTTCAGGTAATATTGAGGGGTAAATGTGATTTTTTCTTAAAATTCTAAAAAGGTTGTTTTTTAAATGGAGGAAACCCATGGACACCTATAAAAAAAGTTTCTAATGAGTGCCAAATTGTTCAATAAACCTCCCTTAATATGTATAAAAAAGTTACACGGATTTAAGTGTCGGATTTGGGAAGGAGGGTTAAAAGAAAAGGGGGGGTGGATGGGACTTTTTTTTACTTTTTTGCAAATACCTCAAAAACGGTGCGTTTTTCTCTGAATATAACAAATTACAAATATAATCTACATTAAGTTTCGAACAAAATGATACCATACAATACCTATCTACTATGAACGGTTCAGGTAATATTGACGGGTAAATGTGATTTTTTTCTTAAAATTCTAAAAAAGTTGTTTTTTAAATGGAGGAAACCCATGGACACCCATAAAAAAGTTTCTAATAAGTGCCAAATTGTTCAATTGACCTCCCTTAATATGTATAAAAAAGTTACACGGATTTGAGTGTCGGATTTGGGAAGGAGGGTTAAAAGAAAAGGGGGGGGGAATGGGCCTTTTTTGCTATTTTCCAAATATCTCGAAAACGGTGCGTTTTCCTTAAAATATAATGAATTACAAAAATAATCTATATTAAATTTCAAACAAGATGATGCCATACAATACCTATCTACCATGAACGTGTTAGGAGATATTGAGGGGTAAATGTGATTTTTCTTTTTAATTCTAAAAAGTTGTTTTTTAAATGCAGGAAAACCATGGATACCCATAAAAAAGTTTTTGTTCTTTGCATTTTCTCTATTAACTTACTCGTTTATGAGCTACAGGATGCGGAATGTACACAACAAGCCTTTTTCCTTAAGTGTAACATGCTGTAACTCCTAAACGAGTAGCTTTTAAGAGAAAATGTCAAAATTAAAAATGTTTTTAAATTGGATTTATTTACTAAAACAATCATAAACTACAGGGTGTTCCATAAGAAATAACAAAGTTGTCGGCCATATTGGAAAATGGCGAACATATTTTTAAAATTGAGAACCATTCCAAATCATCTAAAAAAATAAAGTGTCCCATAAGAAGTCAACTAACTGTATAACCCATGATAAAAAAGTTAGCTATTGGTTCACTTTAGGTGAGACATTCTGTATACAGGGAGTCCTGTAAGTAAACAGCCAAACCCCAGGAAATGGTTCTATGGGTGAAAATAAAAAGAAAATCAAGAGTATTTTTTTTCCAAAATCGCTTCGTTAACCAGATATTTGCCATTTTGTTTTTTTCACAAAAACATTATTTCATCTCTGAATTTTTTAACCGATCATTAACAAACTTGGTATGTATGTTGAGGTAAAATAGACCCACGTTAGAAAAAAAAATCTTAATCCACTAAAAATTTTAAAATGGCGGCCATTTAATTTTTTTAAATTGAAATTGCTAGAAATGGCTAATTTTATGAAAAAATGTCTGTAACACTTTTATTTAGCTTTTAAAATAATAAAAAATAAATAAATATTACGATTTTTATTTGTAAAATGAGGCAACCCTGAATAGCGAAGCCTTAATCACAATAATTTTACAACTAAAAATCGTTGTAACTTCAGTTATTTTTTATTCCATCTTCTTAAGAATTCAAACGGTAGAAAGTTCACCGTGTTCCCGTATCTAGGTAGGTTTGTCTTTTTTAGGTAGGTAAGTCATATTTATTTATATTGTAGTTATATTTGTGATAAAATGGAAAATAAAAAGTGTTACTTAACAAAATTTACAAAATTACTTATGAATAAAATTCCCAACCCCGTTTTCACACCCTCCTACCCAAGACCGGCACGAAAATCAGTGTAACTTTTTTACACATATTAAGGGAGGGTTATTGAACAATTTGGCACTCATTAGAAACTTTTTTTATGGGTGTCCATGGGATTCCTCCATTTAAAAAACAACTTTTTTAGAATTTTAAGAAAAAAATCACATTTACCCCTCAATATTACCTGAACCGTTCATAGTAGATAGGTATTGTATGGTATCTTTTTGTTCGAAATTTAATGTAGATTATATTTGTAATTTGTTATATTTAGAGAAAAACTCACCGTTTTTTTGAGGTATTTGCAAAAAAGTAAAAAAAGTCCTATTTTCACCCCCCCTTTTCTTTTAACCCTCCTTCCCAAATCCGACACTCAAATCCGTGTAACTTTTTTATACATATTAAGGGAGGTTTATTGAACAATTTGGCTCTCATTAGAAACTTTTTTTATGGGTGTCCATGGGTTTCCTCCATTTAAAAAACAACTTTTTTTAGAATTTTAAGAAAAAAAATCACATTTACCCGTCAATATTACCTGAACCGTTCATAGTAGATAGGTATTGTATGGTATCATTTTGTTCGAAATTTAATGTAGATTATTTTTGTAATTCATTATATTCTAAGAAAAACGCACCGTTTTTGAGGTATTTGCGAAAAAGTAAAAAAAGTCCTATTTTCACCCCCCCTTTTCTTTTAACCCTCCTTCCCAAATCCGACACTCAAATCCGTGTAACTTTTTTATACATATTAAGGGAGGTTTATTGAACAATTTGGCACTCATTAGAAACTTTTTTTATGGGTGTCCATGGGTTTCCCCCATTTAAAAAACAACTTTTTTTAGAATTTTAAGAAAAAAATCACATTTACCCCTCAATATTACCTGAACCGTTCATAGTAGATAGGTATTGTATGGTATCGTTTTGTTCGAAATTTAATGTAGATTATTTTTGTAATTCATTATATTCTAAGAAAAACGCACCGTTTTTGAGGTATTTGCGAAAAAGTAAAAAACGTCCTATTTTCACCCCATTTTCACCCCCTCCCCCCCAAACCCGACACTCAAATCAGTGTAACTTTTTTTTACATATTGAGGGAAGTGTACTCAACAATTTGGCACTGGTTTGAAACTTTTTTTTTTGATGTCCCGGTTTAGGTCTAATTGCACCGTACTACAGGTACCACATCTTATATTCATAAAACAGGTGTCCAATCCTGGTAACTAAACTTTTTCATTTTAATTTAAGTATAAGGAATATACCACAAAATTTGTATTTATAACAAACTAGCTGCTGTGCCCGTGCTTTGCAGCGGGAAGAAAAAAATATATAAAAAATAGTTGTTTAACCTTGTAACTTTTTAATGCTATGGAATATCATAGAACCCAACTTGTTGGTTTATTTGAAAGAGCTGTCAATATTCTTTGATTCTTCTTAAATATCAATACCTACAAGGTAAATATGGAAAAATCTAGAACCACTGGGGCGGAGCTCCAAGGGAGTTCAAGAACAGGAATGGGAGTGTATAGAAACCTTCTTGGGGGTGTATAAGAACAGTGCCTCATAAAAGCACACCGTTTTGTATTGTTTGGTTGGAATACACAGTACTGGAGTGCGGCAAAAGTTAGTAAAGCAGCAATTAGCTACTTTTCGTGCTATAATCGGTGCAAGGAAGCCTGTTTAGCCAAGGTAAAAAAATAAGTTTTTTCCAGATTCACTAATCAGCACCTAGCCTACTTAGGTTGCTGAACCATGTGGTGATACAATAGGATGGTTATGTTATATTTGGATTTTCTTGACAACCATTTCTAAGGTCTTAACAGTTTTTATAGAGACCAATATTGCAAACTTAATAGGATTGAAATTTCATTTTCAACCAACATTTTGGTATATGGACGGACAGACATTTAAACATAAAAATACCCCAGCCTCAGCAAACTTGAAGACTAAGTGAATTTCAATTTGTATGATTGGATTTTAATAGTTTTAATAGTTAGTTTAATAGTAATAGTTCCATAAACAAAACATATTTATTCCCCATTTAAATAACACTATTGTACCTGTTGCTCGAGTTCAAGTATTACAGGTGTTATTTTAAAACAAATTTATCTGTCATAATTTTCAATGACTTTAAAAGAGTCGACTCAAAGATTATAAAATACTCACGAGTCACGATGTACATAACGGTTCAATATAATCAAAATTTCTTGTAAATATCTTTTCATTTTCAAAAGCTGATCTTGTTTTTCAGTGTTTTCTACAAATATTTCCCACTCACAGCCAAATTAGGCTGTCCATAATAACGATTACTGTATAAATAAAAAAAAAATATTTCTATTTCTTCTACTGGGAGTGTTCTATGGCTTTCCTATGTTTTCATAATTTGCAAATCGGCTCTTTCAATGATTGTTCAAGAAATGCAGCAAAGTGTTAATTCAGGTTTTTTAGTATATCAAATTGTCCAGGCTTTCTCGCTTTTTTCCATTGTATACGCAAATAGCAAATATTTCATTTCAACCAAGTCAGTAAATGTTTGTAGCACACGTTTCCTTAAATTGCAACTAAAATATATTAACAGCAATTGATCCAGCTGATCATAATGTAAACAAATATATGTTCTTCATAAGAATATCATGGGAACTTTCAAAGCCACTGGGGCAGAGCCCAAGGGATTTTTTCAATAATGTAAGGCCTGTTTGCAAATCTACACATCTAGACGAACATTTTGGTATATAATATGTGGGATTAATTCTTAAAACAAAAAAGCCCTTATTGTTTACAAAGTTTCATGTAGCATAATAACAGTACTGTGGATTTACAAATACTGTACTTGGGTTTTGTTATAGATGAGTGAACGAATCTATGGAGTCGGAGATTAGTTGTCCACTTGTCTGTGACTCTGTGTGTTTGCGTAAAAAACTGAATAATCGTTGCACTTATAGCGTTCAAATTTTGCACAAATAATTATGACACCACTGGGAAGACACCATTAAAATTCTAGACGATTCCGCTCAGTAGTATTTATAAAACCCTAAGAACACATTTTTAAATTTGTCCCATAAGAATAACATTGGACAATAACATAGCTACCGGTACCTTCTTATTCTTTTTATTTGTTTACATTTTGCGACCAACAATTTTCTTGTCTACTTTAGACAAAGAGAATGACTTTTTCACTAAACATTTTTTCATTCATGGAGTAAACAGTTTGACATCTAAGAAGATATAATTGTACAACTTCCAGAATAATAATGTTGTGGAATGTTTGAGAATTGAATTAGTTACGTAATTTAATTAGTGGACTGTATTATAATATGATATAATATGAATATAATAATAAAATTGAAGTATCACTCACGACCGATCCTTTCTTCTCTGTACGAAGCGTGGTTGGCGGCCTGGAGTGTGGAGTGTAGAATTCTCAGGGGCCCCTTGGTCTTGGTCCAGCGGAGATCATCCTGCCATAGTGGATAACGTCGTTCACTGACACAAAGAGAATCCCGGAGGCGAGACACGATATTTATTTAGTTTAAAACCGATCACGGTGTAAAGAAAGTTCAAGGCACAAACTGGTGCGTGATAAGCGGTAGCCGGCAGAAATTATTGTCAAGAAAAAGATAAGAGGAAAAAGGAGTAGGTAATACTACGTAACTGTCAGGATTGCCAACTAGGAAAAGAGGAATAACTAGCAATGAGTCTGTGTTCATGCATGTATGCCAAAATGGGCTAAACCTAAATTAAACTTGATTTTGTCCTTTTTATTTATTAATTATATTATTTACACAACAAATAGATTGAACTTTACAATATTAAGCTACGCGCGCACTACGGCGGCACGGCACGGACGGGCAGTACGGCACGGACGGCATTTTTAAGAGGGGGTGCACGCACTAGGGTGGCACGGCACGGACGGACGGGACGGGACATCCGCACATCCGCAATTTAGGACAGTCGATAGTCTGCAAGCTAAAACTTGTCAGTAATGATGGATGTAGATAAAGTGGTGATGGTAGGTTTAGTTTTAGCCAAAGAACACGAGACATGAAGGCGGAAGCAAAGATTTTGGATGCACCACATAAACAGGAAAAGACTAAGTTTTGGAGAGTTCCACACCTTGTTTCCTGATCTTGTAGAGGATGATGTGTAAAACTTACCAGATTGTTTCAAGATCCCATTTTTGCCCATGTATTTTCACGCCGGACGTTATTAAAATATTTTTGATGTCGCATGTTGTACAGTTTCAGATATTTCTCAATGAGAACAATCAAATAACTAACATCTATGTTTGTTTAGTAAACATAGTATACAACACAAGAAAACATTGCGACTTTGACAGAGACCATTTGAGAATGGCGGAAGTCCCGTGCCGCCCGCCCGGTCGGTGTGCGGTGCTCCTGGTCGGTACGGGCGGCACGGGCGGTACGGCAGCTCGGAAATGTCCCAGAGTTCTCTGTCTCCCGGACTTTTTAACAAACGGTGGAAGCTGCCGAACATCAGTTGACGGCCGTCCTGCCGTAGTGGGCGCACTCATATTACATTCAATGTTATTAACTTTTAAAAATTGCCAAACCGGCCGCCCGTCCGTGCCGTACCGCCGTAGTGCGCGCGCAGCTTTAGTCGGCAGTTATATACAGTTTATGTTCAGTATTAAAATTCACATTTAGAAATATAAAGCCTATATGTACATATTTAGAATTAAGCAGGTTTTACATTGTTCAATCAAACAGATTTTTTGTTATCTATATCCAGGATTCATTATTAAAAGCACAATAATCAAGAGCACTACAAAAAGATAGCAAAAGTTTTATCAGGATTATAAAAGTATCAAGTTTGAAATTTCCATACTCTTACAAACAAAGTTTACACACAAAGAAATGTGATTTCTAGTCGCAAAATGAAACAATAAAGATTTTCTGATTTCTGAGTAAGTTGGCTGCAACAAAAAAGAAAGAGATTGAACATGAGTAGCCCAAGACCACTTATTGAATTGATGGTCCCCAGCAGGGGTCATTGAATTGATCATGTTTGACACTTTATTTCTTTGTCACTTTTACTACCAACTTTTTGTAGTAGTCTTTTGAGACAAGCTCCTCAGTCATTTCCATCAACTTCAATTCCTTATATGAACCCCCTTAAATTGTTTACAGGCTTACTACTAATACTTACACTGCCAGATGGCCTCTTGAGTGATACTTGCATGGATGTAGGAATGAAAAACTTTATTACAGGAAACCTTCATTTTCAAAAAATTGTGCAGCTTCCTCCTCCTAAACCAAGACCAGAACAGGAACTTAAATATGTGTTTGTTGTAAGTACGGTTTAACTTAATTCTTTGCTTTTACAGATTTTTATTGGATATAATCATTACATAATAAAGTACGAGCTGTTGGCCCGTCCTACATACGGGAATCGAGTAGCCAAGTCAATAAAATTGAATATGAATTCGGAAGCTAGTTACACACATAAAAGAGAATCATTCTAGTTCATAATTTATCGTCAATTATTGTTATAAATAGCCTATTGTAGGCTACACTAAACCACATAGTTTTCAAAATGTTTTCAAGCAAAAAATTACCGATTTTAACTGTTTTAATTCAATTGCCATGACCCAACTTTAACAATCAATTGCGGTTTAACTTTAACTTGGCCGATATTAATGAATTAGGTTCACAATCTTGGGTTCATTAATTGTAACAGAGATCTGGGGAATAATTGGTATTTGGCTTAAAAATGTCCTATAAATCGACATAATTTTTATCCTATTTGCTTCACAAAATTATCCAAGTCCATCACAGAGCACCTATCTTTCCAGACTTTGACCAACAAGTAATTTTTACAAAGAACAGAAACTACCGTTTGTCTGTTTAAACAAACTAATCAAATTTGAAAGAATTAGTTATTGGTGATGTCTTTCATGTGTACAATGTACCTACTTTACAAATACACATCTTTTGAAATTAATTCCAGGTCAGTATAAATTGCTCACCTTGTAATTGCATCACCGATTGTTTTCGATTCCAGCTTGTGAAGCATGCCATGGCAGTGCCTGAGTATGATAAAGAAAAGACTTTCCCAGGAGACAAAAACTATCAAAAACATTGGGTTAAAGACAGTCCTACGACAGTAAGTAATAGCTTTGACTATTTATACAACTAGACATTCCATCGCCATGTTAAAGTTGTCGCCAGTTTTTTATCCAAATCATTGTAACTGGTGTGAGCAATAATAGCTTGTGATGATGTAAATTAATGATTTCTGTTGAACACACAAACTCTTTTACCAAATTCAAACTATGGTAACGACTTATTGTGAGATATCTCTGTCATGTCACATTACTATACCCTTCATCATCATCTGTGTCCACAACAAAAATTAAGGTAGAAAATAGAATTTTACATTAGCGTATACTGTAACCGGCTCTCTTAACTTAAACTATGTTCTTTTAGCGAATTTCCCCTATAGGGAATAAGCTATTACCGTAGTACCTACTCATGGTAAGACCTGGACCCGGGACCGGTTTAATTTTTCGTTTTGAGGTCCCTAGAGGCTAAAAACACAATCCGTTCAAATTCATACACACATATATATATATATATATATATATATATACTAGCTGTAACCCGCGGGCTTTGCCCCGTTTAACTTCTTAATTTTCAAGATGATCTCGTTCGCATGGCTAAACCTAAACCTATTCCATGAAATACTACACGTATGTACCAAGTTTCGTGGCAATCGGTTCAGCGGTGTCTGAGTTTATCACTGCCAAATATAAATATACAAACATCCTCTTTTATACTTATAGATTTATTTATTTATGTGTGTCCGTTAGCGTGATAACTCGAGCAAAAATCATCCGATTTTGATGAAATTTTTGTACAAACGTGTAAACCTACGTTTATTCGAACGAGTTTGCGAACCAGCATGATCGGGCTATGGGAACAGGGGTTTATGGGAGGTTTTATGGGACAAAAATTGGTTTTCCCCATTTTTGACCCTAAAAACTTAAAATTTAGCATTTTCTTTCCAAACAATTTTGTAGAGCTTAAAAAAACCAATAATTTAGTACATTGAGGCGTTATTATGCGCCTAATAGTTATGGAGAAAATTCAAAAAAACTGTAAATTTAAAACATTTTTTACACTATACCTCAAGCACTGTAAACATTAAGCAACAATTTAAAGTGTTCACCATTATTTTCAGCACGGACGAGCACTAATGTTAATGATTGGAAGGTCTTTAAATACGAGATATAAACGCTTCATTAAAAACCATGTACCGAATTGGGAAGGAATAAAGGTTTCATGCATAAACAAAGATTATGTAAAAACATTGACAGGTGATATGGTATATGGTCTTCTTAAACAGTCAAAATTCTTGAATGAGCTGAAAACTGATTTGTCCTGGGTGGAGACACAAGAAGATTTTGACAAAATACAAAAAACACTGGTAAGAGGTTTTTACATGTGATGAAAATGTGTTTGTAAAAACCTAAACGAGATCTGCTTTCTGATGCATAGTGTGGCGAAACTGAAACTCCTTTGCTAAAACTTTTTCGCAACGTGCATTAAAAAAAACATACATTTTAGCTGCAGTAGGAAAATAGTATATTTCATCACTAGGGCCTAGGGTGAATATTTTCAACTTGGAGCTCAAGTTTTACAATCGAAGCGAAGCCGATGTCGGAAAATGAGTGGAGGTTGAAAAGACACTTTTTGTTTTGTGTGATGAACTATATTTTTCTTCATATTGCACCAATATTTGAGCAAACTATGTTGCATAGCTAAAATAGTTTTATTTAAAGATAGCCTCTCAAAACTACTTTGTTTTCAATTTTATTTGCTAATGGAAACAAGCAGCTGTTTAGTAAATGATCATATCGTTTCGTCTATTATGATTGTGATGGTGTACATTATACCATCAATGTGTCAAAACTATTTACAATAACACAACGATAAGTTACATTCGATTAAACAATCGATACATACTTTTGATACATGCGATTGTTTAGAATCAAAATTTACAATTGAGTTGACAACAGCTGATTTTCACTCCCTAGGGGTTAATAACTCTTTTTTTACTCCCTAGAGGATAAAAATGCTACTTAAGACCCTCAATGTATGCATTTAAAACAGCTGTTTTTGCTTCATTATGAGGAAAAGTAAATTTAGTGCATAGAAAATCAGCTGTTTGTTTATCCCTTGTTCTAAATTATAATTTCAGAAACAATCTTTCTTTGCCATTTAAAGATGACTACTTTCTACAAAAATATAAACAAAACATAATATTTTGAATCAACAAATGTTATTTTGACTCAACAAATGTTATTTTGACTCACATTAATACCTGGTTGTATAGAGCTCTGGCAAATGCAGATGGATGAATTTCTTAAAGGAACAGTTTTACGAAGATGACCAAGTTGGCCCCAAACATTTCACAAGGTGTTCTGAGGGTTTGTACACTCTGCTACAGGGGTTCATAAAAAACGAAGACAATCTATCAGAGAACGAAGAAGGTTTTGAGTGGGTGATGAATAACCCGGAGCAGATCTACAAACTGTGGTCAATGCTTGTGTTTCAGGTGAAATCTTGATGAGGTATAGGGTGATTAAAATTACTATTTCAATAAAGAGACTTTCAATGAAAAACAATTATAATGACACAGAGATGCTTAAATCTTTGATTGGTGAACTTTTCCTAGAGTTTTTACAAAGTTGTTTCAGGTACTGTGTTATACTTAAATATCCTTGGTTGCTGTGGCAACTATAGCTTAGGATTTTAGGATGAACCATCTCCTGGTCTACCTACAAGGAGTAAAAAAGTTCCTTCTTTTAATGTCAAAGTAGTCTAATAAAATCAAGCACACAAGACACAGACTCAATATTTACAAATACATATTATTACACAAAATGAAAAATACAAAAACATTGAGCAACAATACCGAGTGAAAGTCTCAAGTCTAGTCATTACCTTAGTATATAAGTGGTTTAAATACATTTTGCTACCAGAATGATTCTTATATTTAGGCTACCGGTTTGGACTCTCTAGCCTCTGAGTTTAGACCAGTCCACCGCGTATACGTCTCAGCACGTTTTACTTTTTAAATAATTGCTTAAATTCTTGTGTTTCTGTACGTGTTTCTTCGTGTGTAATTGTTTTACAAAATACTGACTTATTATAATTGAATGGAAATTGACACGTTGTGACTTGATGAAGACTCCCTTTGAGAGTCAAAAATGGTAGCCTAGACCATCCTAGACAGACTACAAGAACCACTACGGTTGTAACAGGTATTTAAACAATTATTATATTTACTACAAGCGATACAGAAGCTAACAACGCATGAAATTGCCTTAGTATTTATTTGTTATAATGGTGTGGATAATAATTTTGTCTGCTATTGGTAATCTGGTTGTTTCAGAAGCAACTATTTTAGCAACTTTTATTATAAAGGACATGTCAATGTGGTTGTGTGGACATCATTATTGTCTTTTGCGACCCAAAGCGTGACAAAATATTCCGCACTAGTGAGAACTCTATGACTATCCGCAGTACTACCATGATAATTAGACCGATTCGTAAATTACAAGGCAAAACTGTGGTTCGGATTCCACTATAAACTGTAGGTCCCTTAGTTGCCATAAGCTGTATGGGATATTAATTAACAGTCCTGTCTAAGGAACATGTCGGCCGTAGTCAGTAAAAAGAGTGCAAGATCGCGCCACTCATCCTACACTCACCTCCAATCATACTTGTATTAAAATACCTACCTTTGTATAGTCGCCATTTCAATGAAAAGTATTTAAGTACGATTAATTTTATTTACTACAAACAAACATGGTCATGAAGTATTTAACAGACAATTTTCCTTTGAGTGCAAACACATGTAGCCTCAACTCGTATATTTTTTTTTAGTTAATCACTTTTGTTACAGATATTACAAGGTCAAAAGGAGCCGGAGTGGGCAAAAGATAACTGGACATGGATACAGAGTTGTGTGTTTGAAAATTACAGAAAATTTCTAACTTATCACCCAGCGATACCTGCCATGTTATCAGGTACATTAATAATAATTTGACTTTTATCACTTTACTATGGAGCTCCTTTAATTTGTTCCCTTTGGGCTGGAATACATGGTTAAAACTAAAGAGTCTAAATCATCATAAAAGTAATGTCTAATAAAGCCGGGTCTGCACTGAACAAACTTTTTACAAAAATGTTAAACAAACAAGTTCTTTAGCACATTTTTGTAATAAACAAATAGTTTGTCATAAACATTGTTTGGCAAACAAAATATTAATGTTTGGACAAATATTTTAGTGTTTGTTTGAAAAAAAGTACAAATGCATTACATTGTTTAACAACAAATACGTACAAATAGTGTGAGACGAGTTAGCAGTAACAAACATGTAAACATTGTGATGTGTAAGGGATGAATGAATTTGTGATGTAGGCTACCATCGCCATCAGCTAGCTTGTTTCACTGCAGCAGTTATGGTAATCAACGAACCTTGACTGAGAAGATGGTGGCCGAGACAATAGTTACAAAGAAAGTATGAATGCAGGGAAGAGGATTTATGAGCATATTTCACAGCTGATTGTTTACATATCTTACTGAGTGTCCAACGCAGACTTCAAAATACTAACTAACTATGGTTTCTAAATAAAGTTTTTTCTTAATTTCTTGGCAATAAGAGTAAGCAATATTTAGGATACTTACACCTTTACTCCTCCACAATAGGAGGGTCGAATCATTCTTTGATATGGTTATTCATTATATCTGGGCAATGAAATAAAGAATATCTCAAATTGTTTCTGAGGTTTATGCTGCACTTTAGAGTCATCAGGAGCCAATAATTTTGCATTGTTGTTGACCGTCAGATGCCAGGCAGTGGTTGTCCTAGCGCCGATCAGCAATGTATTCACATTGAAGCATTTTTTAATCATGCACTGTAAGCTTGATTACCAAGCAGAAAATGTTATGACATTCTAAATATGTTTTTTATAGGAATTTCTTTTCGGATTTTTAAGACTGTTGACAGTTTAATTCAATATATTTATGTAGTTTGTCAAAATAATAATTGAAATAAAAAAGTAGATAGCAAATCACATCTGCGGTTTCAATAGCTTTAAAACGAGATATTTTGCAACTTTTTATCTTAATAAACAATGCCGTTATGGGCAGAAAATCCAAGATGGCTGGCGGCTTATCAGACTACCTATGTTAAGACCACATCTAATCCCAATGAATGTAAAGTGATGACAGCTGGCTTTAAGTGAACTTCACTATTAATACCAAGGCAAAAATGTGGTTCGGATTCCACTATAAACTGTAGGTCCCTTGGTTGCTATTAGCTGTATGGGCTATTAATTAACAGCTGTGTCTATGGAATATGTCGACAACAAGACTACAAGATCACGCCAATCATACTACACTCATCTCCTTTTATACTTGGCTTAAAATACCTACCATTGTATGGTCGCCATTTTAATGTAAAGTATTAAAAAGTAAAGTAAAGTATTATTTCTCAATGTATTGGTGCTCTTAATGGCAAACATATGGTGTGTACAATCAATCTGCAGTACAGTAGAAATCCAATCATCTGAATCAGTTGAGACTGCAGTCCGCAACACATTTGGATGATTAACATTCAAATAATTGAATTTTTCCAAAATTCAGGTATTTTACAGAATTTAGGCAAAGTCTAACTGAGCCTTTAATAATGCAATCGCAGAACGTGCCTGCAAAGATTAAGCAATTGAATATTCACTCCATCGCCATGGCGGAAAATTATGACTTTCTGAGACCTCGGGAGATAGACGATCATGTCCAAATGAACATGCAGATATTCAAGATTTTGCTGAGATCACAGAAAATGATAACAACTGTGTCCAAATGTATGTTTTGTTGCATAACAAGGCTTGGTAACTGCAGGCGACAATTACCGTATCTGTCTACACAACCATGAGAGAGTTTTTACACTTTTCTGCGATCACAGAAGACGATGATGTTTCTGTGACCACGGGGATGATGATAATTTCTTAAAGACTTTGGAAGATGTACAGTACAAGATTTTGACACGATCCCGAAAAACAATGACGCTGTTTCCACGACTGCTAGAAATGATTATGTGTCTACACACAATAGTTTTTGGATTTTGCAGCAATAAACTGTTATTGTGACATCTTCTACCTTCTTTAAAAATAATTCTTATTACGTGGTTTTAAATTTGTTTAAAATTCTTTCCCTAGGCAATTCGGATAGTAGAAGTTCTACTGTACTGCAGAAGTCCTTACTCATTAATAATCAAGAAAAATTACAACAACACACCACTAAATTTAAAATATACAACACACAAGGTTCTCTGGCTAGCAACTGGCATAGACTGTAGGCAAAAATTTCAGTTTTGCTCTGAGAGAAAACATGATCTCCAAACAAATATGGCCAACCCTCGGAGTTTTTTTTTGCTGGCGCATTCATACTGGAATATGACAAACAAATGTTTGTCAAACATTAGGAAGTTTGTCCAAACTTCAACAAACTGTTTTAACAAACATGTTTCCCGATTGTTTGTTCAGAGGGCACTTGGCTTAACATGTTGTATATGAAACATTTGAGGTGTGTGAGCCTGAGATTTTGGGTTGAGTTGAGCTTTAGATAAAAAATTCAAGCCTACAGTTTTTTCAAGCCAAGCTTTTGTATGAGGATCGTTGGTAAATTTAGGTCTCCAACGAGATCTGACGTGGCCAAAAGCTAATTCAAACCTGACACCAGTGGCACGTGCTTACACTTCATTCACTACTGTTCCCACCGGCATACGGCTAATAGTATTGTCTTGGCATAGCTAATACTTAATAATGTGAGAGAAAATCGTGGATCCGCTAAGTGTGAATCATGTTCTGCGATTAGGTTTCTGTGAGAAGGGAATCAACCTCTACTGAAATGCTCCTATATACCAAAGCGTAAAAAGTCCTGTGTTACCATTCAAAAGTATAAGTTTGCTTGTGGTTTCAGGCAGGATGATTCAGCAGATGGAGGAGGAGACAAGCATAGACAGACAAGTCTTGTTCCATGTTCACGTAACCTCTGACATTGCGCTATTGAACATGAACTGGACACTACCCTTCACCACACATTCACACTGGCCAGACCCTGGGGATGCTTTGATATATGAGTTCTACACTGAAGACAAGGTTGAAGTGAGTAAAGATTCACAAACCTAACATTAGGAAAAGTCAATTTTGTTACTTTAATTTCTTCTCTTTATTCATTTCCAATGGCAGTTCTAGATATTATAATCAGCAACTTCACATTTCAGTCCCCCATATTTTTAGAAATTGAATAAACCTGGTTATGTTGAGTGAGGTTATAAGAACTAGCAATCTTATATATATAGGCAAGCATGTTTCTTGAAAACTCTTTTTCTCAGCTCGTGTGCATCACAGGGAAAATCCATGCATGCATACTGTTAGAAAGATATTTGCCTGTAGATGTGCGGAATCCTTTAAAAAGGCTAAAAGATAAGCTGTTATATATTATTTTATCTGTTAGTGTGGACTCATTAATTAATTTGATTTCTAGTTACAGCAGATGTAATATTTACAATTCTAAGATTGAGGAGTGAATAAAAAGGATGGTTTGGTGCACAGAAACGTTGTATAATCCCGTTATCCTGACAGAATTTAGTGAACTCATCAGACTTGAATATTCAATTCAATTCAATTTAATTCAAAACATCTTTATTCATTAGTATATATTGTATATACAAGAATGGTGTCAAATTCATCATTACATAAAATATAAACACAAATAAAAGACAAATACAATACACAAGAACAAAACAACAAAATAATACAGTCATCTCTCAAGTAGGTATAAAACAAAAGCATACTTCAGTGAAAACAAAAATATAGTTCAGTGAAACAGCAATAGGCCTAAAACATTTTAAGTCAATGCTGTTATTGCTTAGCCCAGAAATCTTTGAATTTATAGAGAGCATTTTGTGTGAAATGTAATTTTAGGGCGTTTTTAAATCTGTTGTCATCTGTTTCATTTTTGATTTTTATTGGTAATTGATTAAAAAATTGTATTCCAATGTATGATGGTTTTTGTTTAAATATTTCTTTTTTATGCTTTTTAATTTGGAAATTATATCGGTTTCTTGTGTTGTAATTATGATTATCGACGTTTCTAGTAAATGTTGAAATATTACGTTTAACATGAAGAACAGTTTTGTAAATATAAAGGCTATAAACTGTCATGATACCCAATCCAATAAAATGTTTTTTACAGTGTGCATCAAAATCCAATTTAAGCATTGATCTTATTGCATCTTTTTGAAGATGTAAAATTTTTTTGAGGTTAAAATTTGATGTTGCTCCATATACTTCAAGACCATACCCAATATGGGTATGGACCATTGAAAAATACATTGATTGCAATGTTTTGATGTCACAAAAAGAGGACAATCTCTTCAGAGCAAAGACTCCTGAACTAACTTTTGAACAGACCTCTTTTACATGATCTGACCAAGACAGTTTTCTATCCAGTAGAATACCAAGGAACTTTGACTTTTCAGCAAGGTCAACAGTATTAAGGCAGTCTGTTGGTTCTGTGTCATTCCTTGAATTAACATTTTTACAAGAGAATTTAATTATTGTTGTTTTATTTTTATTAGTTAAAAGGTTCAAGTTACTTAGTCTTTCGTTGACTTTGTTTGTTGCTAGGGATAATTGATCAAAAACATTACTTCTATTGCTACTAGCTATCGTTAGATTAATATCATCTGCAAAAATACAAAATTTGTTATTTAATGTTAGATTTGAAAGACATTCTGGTAACTTTCCTAAATACACAAGGAATAGGAATGGTCCCAGGACTGATCCCTGGGGAATGGAATATTTAATTAATCTAGTTTTTGACTTTATTTTAAATAATTTATTGCCATTGAGGTGTTTAGTTTCCACATATTGCCTTCGACCTATTAGGTATGATTTTAATAAAGCTAAATCTTTGCCAATTATTCCATTAGAAGTTAGTTTTTCTAGTAAAATAGAATGGGATACACACTATCAAACGCTTTAGTCAGATCTAGAAATGCAGAAACAGTATGGTCACCTTTGTCTAATTTATCCACAATATGTTCAACAAAAGCTATGACTGCAGTAATAGTTGATTTATTTTGTCTAAAACCATGCTGTTCCGAATCTAATAAGCTATTTTTTTCAAAATAATCAGTTAGTTGCATCAACATACACTTTTCAAAAAACTTTGATAATGATGGTAGGATTGAAATAGGTCTGTAGTTGGCAGGATCCTTCTTGTCGCCCTTTTTAAATATTGGAATAATTTTTGAGATTTTTAATTCTGTGGGAAATACTCCAGATATCAAAGAAGCATTTATAACATGCAGTAAAGGCTTAAGAATTGCTCTTTTTGAAGCCTTAATGACTTTTGTTGGGATGTCATCGTATCCAGATGACCACTTGTTCTTTACTGAATTAATTATTTTATCTAACTGTTCCTCAGATATAGTGTGAAACTTAAATCTAGACTTATCAGCAATAACAGCATTGGACTGCTTGGGGCTATCCCCAAAGGAATCTTTATTAGTCAAATTTGGAATTATTGTGCTGTCAACTAAGTCTGCATAGTAATCATTCATTATGTTGACAACTTCCACGGGGTCAGTAACGGAATTTCCATTATGTTTTAAAATAATCTGGGATGGTAAATTAGCAGAATTTCTTCCAAGTTCAGTGTTGATTAAATTCCAAGTAGTTTTTGCTACATTTTCAGATAAAGTGATTTTATTGTGAAAGTATTGTTTCTTCTTTTCAATTATGAGTTTTTTTAACCTTCTTTTTTGCTGCTTTATGTTCAATTTAAATGTCACATTTTTATTTTTCCTTTTGTTTTTACAAGCGTTTAATAAGTTTTGCCTTTCTTCTTTGATCTCTCTATCTATCCAATTCTTAAATCCGTGTTTTGTACGAACATTAGTCACAGGAAAATTCTTATCAAAGTAAAACCTTAGAATATTGTAAAAAAATGTAAATTTTTTATCAATAGGGGTTTGGTAAAGTTGTGTCCAGTTCTCAAATTCTAAATCTTTTATAAAACTATTAATATTATTTTTGCTAAAAATACTTTTTGATTCCAATAATATTTTAGGGTTATTGGATTTTTCTTTACTCATAGTATTTATTGTGAGCAATTGCCCATCATGATCTGAGAGTGCAGTTACTAAACACAGCACTTTAATATAGGCTTTGTCAACTATTATAATTATTCCAGAGGAATTGGATTTCGAGAAAAGTAGTCTGCATTCGTATGTTCTTTTGATGGTCTCTGTTTGATTTCGTAATCGAATGCACTTAAGAATTGGGCGTACCTTAATAATCGATGTGCTGAGATGACTGGCATGGCTTTCCTTGGATTGAATATTTGTTGAAGTGGCTTGTTATCTACAATCAATATAAATTTTCTGCCGTAAAGATACTGGTAAAATCTCTTAATACCCCAATACACAGCAGTGGCTTCTTTGTCAAGTTGACTATAAGCCGCTTCACTTTTAGTTAAGGATCTGGAAGCAAATGCGATGGGTTTTTTCTTGACCATTTATGACATGGGACAGTACTGCTGAAAGACCAATAGGTCCTGCATCCGTAGCTAACGTAACAGGATAGTCTGGATTGAATGGAGTCAACACTCTATCACTTGTGATTTCTTCTTTGATTTTATTGAAAGGGTTTTCACATTTGTTATTCCATTTGAACTTAACATCTTTCTTTAGAAGCTGAGTTAATGGATGAATTATTGAAGATGCATTTGGAATGAACTTCGCATAGTATAGTGACAACCCGAGAAATGATCTAACTTCCTCTACATTAGTGGGACGAGGGGCTTTCGTAACAGCTTCTATTTTATTTTGACATTTAGTGACACCTTGACTTGTTATACGATGTCCAAGGAAATTTATTTCAGATTAAAACAATTTGCACTTATTCATGTTTACATGTAAACCATATTTCCTCAACGCCTGGAGACAATATTCTAGTCTTTGATAGCACTCTTCAAAAGAATGCCCTTGAATAAGAAAGTCGTCAAAATATGCAATAGTTCCATCTAAGTGTAACGGTCGTATTGCAGCTTCGTATTCTTCAGGAGCTAAATCTGGATTTAGATCAATTATGTTCCCTGCCATGTCTTTAACCGTAGTGTCTGTTTCAGAACTAGCATTATTAACTAAACGATTAACACATTCCTCCACAACCATGTCCTCGTTGCCATTTTCCGGACACAACCCTTCCTCGAGCGTAACCGAGCCAATACACGTGTCATTCCATAAGGTTGCGGTAACCTTCTGAGTATTCGTCACATAAATAACTGGTGGAGTCATTGCACTTCCTGCCACACAGTAAAGACCCTTTCTGTGTAACATATTCCCATCCGCAAAAATATAAGGGATATCATCTTGTAATATTAAATCTGTCCGAACCGGAACCGCAACTCTACAATGAGGAGGAATTCGTACGTCCTCTGTAGTGTAAACACCTATGTGTTGTTGTAACACCTCCTGTTTAGTATTGAAACTCAATAACCAATCCTTGTCCATACGCAATGTCAGCTTAGAATTATTAGAATCAAACTTAATTAAATTTTCGGCATAATCCAAAATCACATTATATTTCAAGAGAAAGTCATTCCCTAAAAGAACTTTGGAACTTAAATTTGATACAACATAGACATTTTGATTGAAACGAAAATCACCAATTGTAAATTTGATATCAGTTTTGCCTAATACATCTAAAGGAGAATTATTTGCAGACTTTAGTAAAACCCCTCCTGGGTTGACCATAGTATTCTCTTTAACTAGACTGCAATCTATTAATGATACATTTGCCCCTGAGTCTAGTGATATTTGTACATTCTTTCCATTTAATAACCCATTGACATGCAAGGCTAGCGTAGTAGTATTGTGATTGTTGTTTACTGACTCAACAATGTCACCGGACTTACACACCAAGGCCTCAGCGCTGAGCGGTGCAACGTCAGCCAGCACTACTCGAGGTCTCTGCACTGCTACGACCTTCTTGATCATCAACACAAGTATAGTTAATGACCCCCCACCTTAGCATGTCTAATACACATTTTTGTTGTAAGATTTTCTGTTCAATTTTGGATAGAATGTTGCTGTTACCAATATTTTCGAAAATGTCCT